AATTCATTTTGTCAAGGCCACACTTCAGAGGTGACCCTAATCATCTTGTGAAGCCTTGTTAATTCAGTTCATGCTTTGCATTGCTCTGATGACTTTCTATGGCATGTTCAATGAGAAGTGGCTTCTGAGTATACTTTTAACCATCTTCTTACACTTCCAGTAGCTCACTGTAATAACCATAAACCATTGGAAGAAAGCAATATAGCAGCCTCACTTGCTTTTTAGAAGTTGGAGTGGGAAAAGCATATTGTATTGGAAACAGCTTTGAAAGAGAGCTTCACTCAAAGCATCGCCAAAGGGAAGCCCCTCTTCAAAACTTTGCATCGCCCTATAAAGACAAGAAGGACTTCCTTTGTCAGTCGAACATTCCAAGGACTTCTTGGGTGTGTCCTTGTAATCCCTAACTATTTGATTCCATATCCTGGTTTGTCCTAAAAGCTCACTCTTTTAGTCCTAACTGCAGTCCAGCTCTATAGCGCTTTGTTCATCCCAAACTACTGTGCATAGTCTAGACTTGACAATTTTGTTCTGCACAGGATAAACACATAGTCATGAAGGTAGTGGCTGTGTTTATACGACACACATATCCATAGTTAGCCTAACCATGGTTTATGCAATCCAATTTTCTGGGTTTGCAGGATGCATCAAATTGCAAACCAACCATACTGGTGGGGTTTGCACAATATATTAGGCTGAAGTGTGAGTGGCTGGTTTGTGGACATGCAGCCTTCTCTGAATTGGGACTCTGTGTTGGGGATGACTGGATGCTCCTACAGTATCCACAAAAATGGTAGCAGGAAGTATTGTCTGCTTCTAGTGGAGGCAGATTTGAAAGGTTAAAGATCAGAGCATTAAATCATGCAGGGTTTCAACAAGCAACCTCTTCTGTTCAACACTTCATTATTTATATTCACTTCATGCAAAGGAATGTGGAGATAACCCAGTGAAGGAAAGGATGAGCTATTAAGGGAGGAAAAACAGCAACGCAGTCCTGAGAAGGTAAAAAGCATGAGAAAGAAACTCAAAGTAATCCAGCCTTAATTCTGTTTCTTATAAGAGGGGACATAAAGGAAATCTGAGAGGCTTTCAAGATTTTGTTATTATACCTTACAACTATAAAGTACTGTTCCTGGAATCTTTGCAGTGTCTATTTCCTGACCTGGCCTAACTTGAAGGCTGATACTTCATAATACAAATGAATGCATTTCTTGTGACATACTAATTTCTCCTGGCACAAAGTTTGGAATTACTCATTTCAGGATTTAAAGGCAATTAACAGAATCCTTGGAAGCTAATTGGGAAACAGTGCAATAATATCATTATTCTCTGAAATTTGCAGGCCTGTGAGAGATAATTTAGGATTGCTGTGAGGCATGACTTAATGCCATGGAGGCAATATAATTCCCACCCAACTGAAGAGGAAATGCAATTTGCCTTGAGAAGGTGCCTTCTCCACTTCTGTCTGGCACTCCAATGGTCAGGAAAGTCTTCCATACATGTTCTGCACATCACTGGAACCTCTTCTTCACTTCCAATGGCTGACTTAATCTGACTTTCAGTAGCAGACAAGAAACTTCAATGGAGCCTGCAGAGCATGCCCAGAAGCTTCTCCCAGCTAATTGAAATGCAGGAATGAGAATGCAAGTATTTGCATTGCTTTTAGGAACAGGGGCAGCCCTGTTCCTTCATAGGTCTGCTTGAGTAGAGTGATCTGACTGGTTCACTATTGATCTGTCCCATCAGTACTTTGTTTAGGAGTATATTTATCTTCATTGAAAGTTGTCTATATCTGCTTTGGATTTACCATGGGTGGCTTACAAAGAATATATTGAATAGTCAGTTCAGACAGTTTATTAGATTTAAACAACACGGCCGTGGCTTTTGATTCTACAAAAATGAATAAAATTGGTTTCATATCCTGAATAGCAATGCTCTCTTCCATTTTTCCAACAGACATAGACAAACTCACTTGCCAAAGACTGTGCAAAACATCATGAAGTTTCTCATTTTTTGCTAAGCTTCATGCTTGTTAGCTTTCCTCATCCCAACAAATTCAGTTTTTGGAACTTAAACTGAAGCATCATGGATAGATGACATTGGGTCCATGGAAGCAGAATTTTGGTAAGACCACCTTCTTAAGCTCTGGATAAACTCTCTTAGTATATACAGGTAGTCCTCCTTTAGTGACTGCCTGTTTAATGACCATTCGCAGTTACGATAGTGATGAAAAAGTAACTTTGCAACCAATCCTCGCATTTACAACCTTTGCAGGTCTGTAAAGCAAAGGAAAGCTGAAGTAAGATTATAAGCATAGTTGCAGTTTCACTTAGCGACCACTTTGCTTAATGATCAGGTTGCTGGTCCTGATTGTGGTCTCTAAATGAGGACTACATGTAACTTTCAAAAAACATGAATTAAATGATTGAGGAATAGACTGACTTAGAAAGTGGCAGACTTCCCATCATCAGACTGCATAAGTAGAGACTAGATAGCTGTCTGTCAATATGGGACAATATGGATTTTCTTCACTGATAGTTAAGATGATATTTACAGTATTTTCCAACTCACTGATTTTACTTTATTCAAATTTTGCCTGCACAGACACAACCTGTGCTTATGAACGCTTCTAATAAAACCTTTTTATTCTAGCCCAGTTTTCAATTATGCAATGATAGGTTGTATACAGATATTTGTGGGGGTTTGTCTGCTGTTATGACCATATATGCCCTTGTGCTGTTATTCATTCAGATGCAGTGTAAATACTGATGGCCTAGCAGACTGCTTATAAGCTTGGCTTGCATTTTAGCAGCTCCTAAAATTCATAATTAATAATATTAGGTTTTAAGGTTCTTGTCAACTAAAACTGATCTAGTGACACTGGGACGTATATTGCCAGTTCCATATTAGTTTTAGAGGGATGATTGCAAATTCTAGTTACTAGTTATCTGTTGAACTGCTTAACAGCATAACCTGTTTTAGTGGTGCTTTGGATTATTTTAATAAAATTACGTATTCACATTTTGGATTCTATGGGGCTAGAGTTGTTCTTTTTTAAAAAGCATGAAATCAGAATATCATTTTTACTTCTCAAAGGACAGTCACAACCTGTAATGGTATGTGGGAATGACCTTGGGAGACGGGGAAGAGAAGCTGCCTAGGGAACAATCAGATAAGAATGGGCATAGCCCATACCTGCATAATGGGCAGGGAAAGAAACTCAGAAAGGAATCTCCCTAACTTATCAGGTTGTAAAAGAGATGGCAGGAGATTCATACTTTCATACTTGAAAGATTCTGTCAATGTAACCTTACAATAAAGTAGAATTAGCTCATCTGGTCATGTTTCCTGTCTCCTCTACCTGGGAAGGCTGACACAACCTGATGGTGGGCCTATCCCCATTTCACTCCCTGAAGGTTTCTTGGAGCAAATGGATCTGAATTGCTAAAGGGTTGGGGCTACTCTAATCACAGGGGGAATTTGTGGTAGTGGTGGAAACAGAGAAGGTCTGGTTTTGATGTCCCTGATGATGTCATTGTCTCAATACAGGGACCTGAAGAGAGATCTCCCTCCCCCATCTTACTGGATGGGTAGATAGCACTGGGAGCAGGACATCACAAAGATAACCAGATTCTTACTCATGAAATTTCAAATTCTTCCATTAATAGTGATTCTAAACCACAGTCTTTTTAAGATTTTGAGAATCCAGGAGGTAGAATGTTCATCTGAACCCATTCCCACTTTCTTCTCATTACATTCCAAGTAAAGGTACCTTTTCCTTTTTTTTCCCATTGAAGTCAGCAACCCAATAGTGCAAATAAGTCCAGCTTAGTGAAATCATTCTTGGGATTATATTTTGACGTAATATATTGAACTGAATATATTGCTGGGAATATAAAACTGGGATGTCAAGGATTGTATAACTTTATGCATTTGTTGGTAAACAATATGGCAATTGTGTTTAAACAGGAATCACGTGTATTTAAATATACCCGTAGCCCCACCTTATGATATGCCAAAAAAATTCTACCAAGATGTGGTCAATGGCTTCTGTATCTTTCCAGTGCTGCTGGTTGCCAGAGGATAGGGGCAATAAGCTACCTGTTGGGGTTAAAACTGCAGCTTCAAACCCAGTCTTTGTAAGATGAGTAAACTGTACTTACTTTATCCCACTGAGCTCAGCAATCCAGTTCACACAACAACCCAGAAGTTATTTATGTACGAATATGTTTAGGATTCTGTAAAGGAGGACTGGTGAAGAGAAGATAGATGCAAGTGCCTTTTATGCAGGTCATATTTTGTGCAAAGAAGGGCTGACAGAAGAGCCTAGACAGAAACCATGTGGGCTGGAACCATGCACACAAATAGCACAGCTATTTCTCAAAGTACATTTCAGGGGTAATATGCTTTCTGTTCTTTCTGGCTTTGCTCCAAATCTTTCCAATTCTAGAACTTTCCCCATGTAGAAGGACTTACACACAGGTATGATTTTCACTCCCCAAACCTTAGAAACATTTTTGAGCTGTCCTCAGAGTACCAGTATTCCCTCCAGTTAACCAAGCCAGGAGTAGCATGCAAAACTCAAGGGGAATTGCTCTATAACTTTATCCTTTCTCTTCGTTCCTGTTATTTATATTCTGCCTTTCAGGATAACAATCCTACCAATGTCACACATAATCCAGGAAATTAGCCTTCCAAATATCCTTTAAGCTCCAGTGGGATTTTCTCATGGGATAATACCATGCAATAGATTTCAGAAGCATATTTTACTTGAGGATCATAGAGTTTGCTTATTCTGCTGCAAATGTTAATGTTGTAAATTAACAAAAACAAACAAGAAATGCATGAAGAAAACTTGAATGCCTTGAAATGTTTTATGGTTCTACATTTACATTAATGAGAGTGTTATCATTAGTACTGTATATCTGAAAATGCAAAACAATGTTGGCAGTTGATGGATGGTGCAATATGTAACTATTTACCTTTTCAGATTGTTCACTTACCACAATACTGTTGGTAATGGTCCAATATGTGGCCAGTCCTGAAGCACAGAGAACCACAGCAAAGCAGAAAAAACACTACAATAAACAAAAGACAACATCAAAATAAGTACCTTAGTAAGTGCTACTTCAAGTATCTGATTTATATATACTTTTAACATACAAATTTTAAGAAATAGAAAGGTTGCTGTTCCCAGCCATAACAGAACAAAAATCTACTTATTGATGAAAAACAGTATTTCTTCTATTTCCCTAAATTAATTTCAGACTTAGTGTAGTTAATTGACTTAAACTGAAAGACACTGAGCCATAGAGTATTTTTTTTCCTCAAAGAGCAAATGGATTTTTCTGCCTCTTTGTGTGTGTGCATGTGTGTGTGTGTGTGTGTATACCTGCTCCCTCCTATTTGGGTTTGTAAGTACTCCAACATTTCTGTTGGTTTTAGAGCATGTAAATTATGCAAAGTGTATTGTCGAAGGCTTTCATGGCCAGAATACGATGGCTGGTGTGGGTCTTCCGGGCTGTGTGGCCGTGCTCTGGAAGTTTTGTTTCTTAACGTTTTGCCAGGATCTGTGACCGGCATATTCAGAGGGCAGGAGCACAGACAGGACCAGTTCTCTCTGTGCCCAGGATGATGTGACCCTTTTGTGGGTATTTATAGAGATCTGATCCAGTAGTAATGTATGGCTGTGAGAGCTGGACCATAAAGAAGGCTGAGTGCCGAAGAATTGATGCC